TAAATGATATCAGAAGCGCTGGTGCCAGGAAAACAACTAGAATATATTGAATTTACAGAGCTTATATAATTTAATCCAATAGTTTTTGTAAAAATATTAATTTCTTTTATGAATTAAATCAATTAAGTAGACACTGTGCCGTGTCACTGTATATGTATGCATTTAACCGTACAAATGGAAAAGAGAAAGTGATAAATGAAAATACATTTATTAATTGATGAATGAAACATGTAGCAGGTTAAAACGTTCATAAGCGTGACTACGGCGTGGATGCAGACGGGCACTACCTCCAACCTTTCTACAGAGAGGAGGGGGGGGGGGGGGTCTGTTACATCTGGGGACGAACAACCACAAGAAGTGGCATTTTGAAAATAAATCTTATTACTAATCTCAATTGTTCCTTATATGTGAATTATAAATATATCACAATATTATAGTGTTAATTTTTATTGTTATTCAAAAAGGGAATGCTTCAATTTTTTTTTCAAATTGACTTATCCATTAATATAAATATGTTTTAAAAAATTGCATATAGATTTTCTTTTCTGTTTTTTTAATTTTATTTCTCTATTATATCTATTACAGCTCAATACATGAAAACGGGATAAGAATGGACAAACCTGATAAAAAATTTGAAATGAAAATCGAGGAATAGCGATTATTTATAAAATTTCTGAAACATTTTATTATTACCAATACATATCAAGCGCGGATACAGGCATTTTCCGGAGGGGGAAGGAGGGTATAGAGCCGCGCACTCAAAAAAAAAAAAAAAAGAAGAAGACTCAGACATTATTGTCAAGCAAGGATAAAAAACCATAAACTTATCCATACCTTATATAGCTATTTCGTTTCGGAGGGGGAGGGGGTGTTAAATCGCTTTGCCTTTATAGAAATACAGAAGATGTATTAATGTATGTGACTTTCTATGCCATTGTAACAGGGGTCCGTGTTTTCTAGAGGGATTGGGTTTACTATTAATATCATTTCAACAACTCTAAAAATCCCAAGGGGACCGGATCCCATGACCACGCCCCCCCCTCCCCAATTACGACATCTTAACTAAAGATATTCCTAAGATGCTTTTGTTTTACATCCAAAGACGTATCTTAAGATAGTCCTAAGATATGTACAAAGTAAGCTGCTGGTTCTGAGTTGGTTGGGGAAAAGCCGCATATGATTTGGTGATAGAAAGCGAATTCGTGTCGGACGTCTGAGAAAAATTGATTGAAATTCTAGCTTGAAGTTAATTTTCAATCCCAATTTGCTTTTCTCATACGCTTGATGCAGAAGACAAATAATAATTTCAATTTCCGAATAGTTTGAATTTAATTCAGATTAGAAACTTCTATCCAATCTATTCTTTTAAAGAAATCATCAATATCTTTTAGGGCACGACAATTTTCATTCTATGGGGGGGGGGGGGTAATTAAAAGGGGGACGCTGGCAGATTTTGGAAATAAAGAATCTGTTCTTGAAAATACAGGTATAAAAAATCTCTCCTCCAGTGACCGAAATCAGTGGTATTAAGCCGATATCAGTGCCAGTAGGTACGCATACATGTATCCTCAGATGTCGAAAAGCTCCACAGCTTCGAGAGTTTACATCTATAGATATACTTATATATCCCTTCAGTCTGTTGGTGAATTAAAATGATTTGAAGATATATACATATAGTCTTTAAACCTATAAAGCAGAGAGAAATTTGCAACATATACCTTTATACAATACATTAAATCAAGCGCTCAAAATCTAAATAATCACCAAAGAAAACCCAACATTTCAAGAAAAAGAATATGGGTCACAATGTAATTAAATATTGGGACTTTATCAAAGATTTAAGCATACACTTCGATATTGTGGTAGGTGAAATAATGTACGGTCGAATCTCCAAATATGTTACGGCTCCTCGAATATATCTGTATTTGCATCTCTTCGTAGCATACAAAAATGTATATAATTATTATTTTTGCCTAATTTCTAAACTGTTTTTTACAATGTATGGATTATTTCCGTACTGTATAAGGTGGAGACCGGTCCTTAGGATAAGACCGTATAAACCGAAGTCCCTTGTCACAGTAGATGCTGGCACGAAAAAGATCTCTCTCTGCTCAAAAGCCGCAAGTGTCGAGTACAGGTCTAAATTTGCAGCCCCCCACCAGCAAGTGTTGGCGTCTCAATATGATTGAAACATTCTCGAAGGGACGTTAAACAACTAAGCAAACAAACATTCTTATACAATGTATTTACCGGTACATGTAAAAGTATATGTATTCTTTCTCTACATAAGATTTGGATTTGGATTCATCTGTCTTTTGCAGATACACCTGTATGCATGCTATTATTTAATCTGAGACCCCCCCCCCCCCAAACAAACACACACTTTCCACACTTTTCTGTGGTAGCGTTGAACCGCTTGCACCGTATTGTACAGAATATATTTCGTGCAGAAAAGAAAATGAGAGTATTACACTACCCCCCTCCCCCTCCTTTCTCAGTTTTAAGAATTTAAGTTTTGTAAAATAGTCAACATCCTATTTCCCTTTATTGCTTGTAAACATTTTGCTTTTTTAACATTTGAAAAAAATCCTGAAATCCTGACCAATCCCGATCAAAATTACCACAAAATAAATAAGATGAAACTATTGCCTTCTTTAAGTATTTACCACTAAGAAATTTATTTATTTATCAAGTTCAATTACTTTTTAACGCGTATTACACCTTAACAAACTTGTATTTCTTCTGAAAATATTATCTATTATCAATTATTATAAAATTCTGGTTGGGATCAGTTTAATTTCGATCGGGATCGGCTAAAATTTGTAAAAAATAATTTCTCTAAAATTTCGCAATTTCGTTTCAATTTCTTTTTCAAATATGATTGTCTAACATATCCTTTGTAGCTGTGACTTGTTTTTTGAATATATTATCCATATGTTTTGAAAATATTCACAAATAATGTACTTTTTCGAAAAAAAATTTTTAGTAAAAAAATTAAAATGTCTATCTGGCTTTTCTTCACATATTTTATGAGATATTTATATTATGCATTCATTAACAACAGATTTTTAACAATAAAGCATCTTATTTGCAAATAAAACATTTTTTTTCCATTTTCTATGAAAAATTGGAGAAAATTCTTATAAAATAATTAAGAGCTAGGCCTTTCAATGCTGAAACCATGACTTAAGGAAGCTCTAAACACTGCACACTAAAGAGTTCTATTTGTAGGGTAGTTTTATTGGGTGATTTGCCCTTAGAAGAAAAATAGTATAAATGGGAATCTACAGTTAATGACATAATTTCTTATGAATTAAAGTATTCTTAATGTTATGTTAGACCAAGATTGAGTAATTGAATACATTATTTCCATTAATTTTCCTGATGCAAGTAAAAAACAGTGATTTCTGTTCACAAATAGTTCATTGTCTTTGAACATTTTTTTCTGCAGAAATAAGGCAGGTACCCTATGTTGAAAATGAACTTGATACACTGAATATGTGCACCTTTATATGATATATTTTTCTCAAAGCCCAAAAAGCATTTTTCATTAGTGTTTAGAGCTTCCTTAACATGGATGTCTTAAGACCAATGGAATTAAATTTTGGTGTGGCATTCCTCCTTAAGGAAGTAATTATGGGTCCAGTTCCTAATGAATAGAAAGCCTCATTTGCGGTTTGTATAAACAAGAGCATAAATTATTGATATAAAATTTTATTCAGAAGAGAAATCACAAATAAATACCTCACCTTTAATATCATCAATGTTCATTTTTGCATACTTAAACATACATCAATAACAAGATGTGTTTGTGAAACACTGATGCCCCCGTATGGCAGCTTATGGCGAAGGTTAAAGTTTCTCAAATGCAAGTCAAAATCCAGGCCAAAAGATAAAAAATGTTAAATTAAAAGGCCCTAGCTGCAACTGTTCAAAAGTTATGGCGAAGGTTAAAGTTTTTTAAAAGTCAGTAAAACATTAAGGTCAAGGTCAAAGTTGTTGGTATCCAAAGGAAGGTCTTGTCACAAGGATTACATATGTGAAGTATGAAAGCCCTAGCTGCAACCATTTAAAAGTTATGGCCAAGGTTAAAGTTTTTCAAAAGTAGTTCAAACTCCTATGTCAAGGTCAAAACATCAAAGTGGTTGGTATCCAAAGGAAGGTCTTGTCACAAGGATTACATATGTGAAGTATGAAAGCCCTAGCACCAACCATTCAAAAATTATGGCCAAGGTTAAAGTTTTTCAAAAGTAGTTCAAACTCCTATGTCAAGGTCAAAGGGTCAAGGTCAAAGGGTCAAAGTGGTTGGTATTCAAAGGAAGGTGATGTCACAAGGATTACATATGTGAAGTATGAAAGCCCTAGCATTAACCATTCAAAAGTTATGGCCAAGGTTAAAGTTTTTCGAAAGTAGGTCAAACTCCTAGGTCAAGGTCAAAGTGGTTGGTATCCAAAGGAAGGTATTGTCACAAAGATTACATATGTAAAGTATGAAAGCCCTAGCTCTAACCGTTCAAAAGTTATGGCCAAGGTTAAAGTTTTTCAAAAGTAGGTCAAACTCCAAGGTCAAGGTCAATTGTTGGTATCCAAAGGAAGGCCTTGTCACAAAGAATACACATGTGAAGTTTGAAACCCCAAGCACCAACTGTTCAGAAGTTATGGCCAAGGTTAAAGTCTCATAAAATTTTGCAAAAGTGGGTCAAACTCTAAGGTCAAGGTCAAAAGGTCAAATATGATGGTATCCAAAGAAAGGTCTTGTCACAAGAAATACACATGTGAAATATGAAAGTAATAGCTCCAAACAATCAAAAGTTATGGGCAAGGTTAAAGTTGACAGACTGACAAACAGACAGACAGGACAAAAACAATATACCCCCGGGATCTTTCGATCCGGGGGCATAAAAAGAATTGTTATTACTTTTAAAATATGTAACTATATAAATCAATACTAAAAAAGTCTAACATTTTCAATGTTTTACTGAGCGTTGATGTTTGACTGCAGAGTGAGATATTGGACACTGGACCGCTTATGTCACAATGTTGGCAGGATCAGCTTAATCTTATTTTCATCTGTTGGTGTTCGACAGTAACAGAATTGACCAAGTTTAACACAGTGCAGGTAAAGGAAATTAACATCATAGAAGCCAGCATGAGTACAGTCATAACTGAGGTACAATGTGTAGTAGGCCTCTTGGAGTAAATAGAGAACAAGTATCAGCTGTCAACATGCAGTAGACCTGAAACAAAGTGAGAAAAATTATTACATCACTTATGTCAGCTAAAGGTGCTGTGAGTGAGCTAACAAAATAATAAGGTTATAACCCTGCTGCAATTCTTTTATTTAGAATGTGTAAATGTGACCTTGAACTTACCAAAATGACTTTGGTAAAAAAAGGACAGATCTTTGGACATGATTAATCTAAGAGTGAAATATGGACATCCAATTTTTCTCCATTAATACAAAATAATAGACTTACATTTTTTCTGCCAGAGACCTTGAACTTGTCACAATGACCCTCAGGTCAGAAAAAAAAATTTTGTAGCAAATTAAAGCTCAGTTACAAAGTTATTGACTGGACAAGTATGTTATCTCTTATCTGCCAGTGACCTTGAACTTGCCAGAATGACCTTGGTCAAGGTCAAGACAAACTTCCAGGTCATAAACAATCTTTGTAGCAAGTAAGAGCTTCCAATGATTCTCCATTACAAAGTTACAGCCTACACAAGTGTTTTATACCTTTTAAGCCAGTGACCTTGAACTTGCCAGAATTGCCATGGGCCAAGGTCATGACACACTCTCAGGTCTTCAATAATCTTTGTACCAAGAATGAGCTTCAATGATTCTCCATTGCAAACTGATATCCTGGACAAGAAGTTTATATCATTTCTGTCAGTGACCTTGAATTTTGACAGACTGTTTGATGGGATCCCGCCAATCAAGTCGGGTTCATCAGGACATTTGAGCAATATAAGCCTTAAAGATTCAACAAACTTTCATAAAATAATTATCGTTAATATTAATAAATTAGTTTAAAACTATACTAAACATAACTATTTACATCATATTGAAATATTGTACTGAACAAAAGTAGTTTTGCCCTCGACTTGTTAATAACACCTGTGGCTAAAAATAGTGATTGGGTCATGTGGGGATTTTTTCTTTACAGAGCAATGACTGTTTACAATCTAACATATAAGAAAGGATAAGATAGGCTAAGATCCCTTTTTGGCCCCTGGTTTGGGGTGTCTTTTAGAATGTTGCAACAGTTTTTCAGTTAAAAACCTGTTGTCACCCCTGCCATAAATTGAGTATTGTTTCTAAGTTATGGGATACACAGAGGCCACAGGAAGTTCAGGAAAAATGTCAGTTTCCGAATTTTCTCATTTTATGCAAATTTTCATTGGTTTTACAGCACATTTTGGTTCAGAAAACATAGAGCACAAGCTTGCCTATCTACCAAATTTATATATTTCATACAATAGTATCAGATGCATCTTATGTATAAAAATCTCAGATAGGCAGCCTTGTGCTCTATATTTCCCAAAGTGAAAAGTATCTCAAATCAGGGGTTTAAATTTTCCTGGAAAACCCACTAGCCCAGGGGCTATTGACCAGTAAAAATTACTAGCCCAAACCTCAAACTAACTAGCCCAACAACTTTTTCATGCGAAATGAAAACATAACAAGTAAAAGTTTTAAAGGCTGTGCCGACAGAAACAAATTAAACTACAATGTAGTTCTCAGTCTAATGAAGCCACTCGACATAGAAAAGTGAAAGTAAACTGTTGAGATTTTTTCCCCATTCTGCTAGTCCAATGGACTATCATTACATCTGAATTAGCTAGCCCGAGTCTTAAATTGACTAGCCCCGGGCATCGGGCTACCATATATTTCAACCCCTGCAAATTTGACAAAATGCAACCAGAATTGAGGAAATTCTGGAAAATAACCTACTTCTACACCCTCTTGTGGCCTCCGTGTAAGCTTTGAATCAAAATTAGTGCTGGTTTTAAAACAAGCGTTATTTTTAATTCTTACCTGCAAACTATCAAAATTTTAACTGTGTTCTGATTTTTACATCAAACAAGGGGCCAGATTCGGCCGTTACCATACCTTGTCCTTTCTTTAAAAGTTTTTAGATTATTTATTTGAAGGACTGAAATGGGGGTTCAACAGTTATTTTATCAATACGTCCACTTGGTCTTTTACACGACTGGACCACTCATTTACTAGACTGGGTCAAACATGCCTTAGTGTCAAACCCTGTTGAACTAGCCTGAATGACCTTGGGTCAAGATCTTGACACACCAACAGGTCATAAACATTCTTTGTACCAAGTTTGAGCTTCCAATGACCAACAAGTTGGCACCGATAGACTGACAAGGTGATTCTTATATATTCCCCCAACCTTTATTGTGGGGGTAGAAGACCAGCATGATGAATATAAGACAGAACATTCAGGATCTAAATGAAAAATGGGGACTCCTGATACACGTATCAGAGTGGAAAGAGATGCTCAATACAAAATTGCCACCTTCAGTGCCATTGGGAAAACCCAATTCTAAGCTGCTACCCAAGTGACATATACTGTGTTCTTAGAGGAAGAAAATTGTAGCAGTGTTCTATGGAAATAAATTTTGTAAGAAAGGTGAAAGCTGAGAAATAAAGGAAAGGAAGTTACCTGCCCAGCCATGAGGACTGCACTGTCACCATTCCTCCAAAGACAATGATTGTGGATGAGAAGAGATGGGCTGCAGAAAGTGAAAGTGAGCTGCAAAGTGATGACCATCCACTAGTCATCTATTTCACCAGTGGTGGTTAAGGTGCCACTCTATACAGATTATCTGAAAAACAAGGAAATTTCATTGAAAACCTAAAAGATCTGCTGCAATTCTTTGATTCTCAAAGAAAACAGACAGCTATGGCTCAATTAGCAGTCACACATTTCTGAGAAGAATAAAAGAATCCACACAAAGAAAATTTGCCTTTGACCTAAAGCTTCAATGCAAAACAGAGTAAAAAAAAATATCAGTACTATTAGCACTATTCCATAAGATTTACCTTTGATTAAGTGGGCCACGTCTTCTACCATCAATTCAATCATAAGCTGCTACCAGAAACAGTGTGGAAAGTCCTGTCAACTTACCGGTAATTCCTTTTCCTGTCGATGACTGAAAAGCAATGAGTGGAAATTTCAGTGTTGCCTAGTGACTATGAATTAAACATGACAGAAGAAAATGTTTGTTAGAAGATTATTAACTTGACTTTTAAGTCCAAATAATCTTGCTAGCTAAAATTAAAAGAGTGTTCCAAGGAACACATGTGTCGCCTGATGAACAGATCATAAAAAAATCTAAGCTAGGTATAGATATCTGATTACATCAATAAAATAGATTTTGACGTCAACGCGACACAGCAAGCATACCTATAGAATTTTACGTAGCTCTTTGGAGAACTCTTTTCCAGACTAAAAGATCTGCTAAAACAATAACAACTAGTGCTAACTGTAACGAGAACTGTTTCAGATGTTCCCCAAACACTTCCCCATTCTCTTATGGGCCCCATTCATTACAGGCTTCATTTAATTATGCAATTCTTTTGTTTAATAAATCTATACTTTATTTTCAGTAGTATTTATTCGAAAAACAACACTGGTATAGTTCTTTGAGTATTACATTAGCCAATTGGATTTCAGCGCATGCTAGGCCTGAGTATATCGCAAACTACCTAACAATGATACGGTCATGTGATATACAACATGTACCATGATACAGCTGTCACCAATTGAATTAAGCTTTATCTTAACATATAATTCTTTGCTAACTCCACAGTTATAGAAATATACAAAGAATATCTTGATAACCCTTATCAAAGTTAATAAAAGGTGGATTTATAGTCTTGATATTGTATTTTTTCTTTGCTACCTTTTTTCAGCCATTTTAAAACATTAAAATTTGTTAGGTTGAATGCAGAAGTTACAAACAAAACAAAGAAAATTATCTTCTACTGTATCACAATACATACATGGCGATACGCGTATCGTCAGCCCTTGCGATCAATACGATCGATGTATTGCTGTATCGTTACACCTCTAGCGCATGCACATGCCCATATTTTCTAAATATTTCATATTCCTTCCTCGTGAAGAGACTCACAATAAATAGCTATGTAAGAAATGTAAAGATTTTCATTGAAAACTATGAGAGATACAGCCATATAAGTATTAGCAAATCAGAATCCACGTTCTTGCATTCAATTTTCATAGTAGCACAATGTAGGAACCCATTACACCTATCTATATTGCAAATTCCATCCAGTTTTGTTAAAAACTAAGAAAGTTACTACTGTAACAGCAATTTAAAGTTTAAGCCAATCAAATTGCAGCACACTTGCATGAGCATGTTTTCACAATATCTCATATATTATATCAAAATGGAGAGCCTTTTTGTGTATGACTATGTTTTAAATTTCAAAGCATTTCATCAAAAAAAAAAAAGGTTATTGAGATTTTTTGTGTCAGTCAAACAGAGCAAAGCACACATGCATGCACATGCTTTCTTGCTAATTCAACCACCTCTTCTTGTCTACACTACTAATATAAGTTTATACAATGCAGTTCAAAGCATATCATAAAAAAACAGGAAGGTTAATGGTGTTTCAATTGCTTCAGTCATTTCACTCCTTGCACGCGCACGCATGTGCATGTAAGTGTGGGTAAAATGACCTTCCTTCTGCACATCTACACAACATGCCTGTTAACCCTAAAAAGGTTTCAACTCAATCAGTTGAGTAGTTTCTGTGATGACAGAGAAAGAAGCATTAAAGCTTCCAGACTGTCTCAACATGGTAAAGACCTATGGCTGGCATGAGATGAAAATGAAGAAGCAATGATGCTTTAGGTCAATAGACATATCCAAGTTTATAATTCCAATGGGACATGTCTAATTATCCTATCAATTAGAAATTTTGCATAGCTGTTTTATTTGTTCTTGTTAAAATGTTGACAAATTTTCATGAATTAATGTCTTTCTTTTATGGAGTAAAAGTAAATGTTTAATTTCAAAATAGCCCTTATATAGCAAAGAAAAAAAATCCACAAATAGTAAGACCCATACAGAATAACATTTATCATATAAAATCTGACAATAGATATATGATTCTCCACCCTTCAAAGCTAAAGTGAATTATAAAATTGAAATTAACAAGAAGTCTGTGAGCCAATGTTCACTAGTAATACCCCCGCTTTGATGTGAATATACATTCTGATGTGAATATACACAAGTTCAGTTATGGACAGACTCAAGGATGAACAAAAAGTTGACATCGGATTTGTACAAAAATGAATCCCAAAATATGACATGCCTAAACAAAGAGTGTGCTAAAATTTCAAGCATCTGCAATCCGTAGTTGCTGAGAAAACTGCGACCAAAATTTGTTATGTATGGTACGGACAGATGCACGGATAAACAGGAAGTTGACATTGGATTCGTACAAATATAAATCCCACTATATGGCATGCCTAAACAAAGAATGTGCTAAAATTTCAAGCATCTGCAATCAGTAGTTGCTGAGAAAACTGCAACCAAAATTTGTTATGTATGGTACAGACAGATGCACGGATAAACAGGAAGTTGAAATCAGATTCGTATGAAAATGAATCCCACCATATGGCATACCTCAATAAAGTGTGTACTAAAATTTCAAGCATCTGCGATGAGTAGTTGCTGAGAAAACTGTGACGAAATATTTGCTACGGACAGACAGACAGACACACAGACAGACACACAAGGGTAAAACAGTATACCCCCCTCTCCTTCGGAATGGGGGTATAATAATTAAAATAATTATTTTTAATAAATATATCTTTATCCCAGATATCTTCCAAAAGAGATTTCAGTCTCTATTCACTCTACAACGATACTTTTGGTATACCCATCCTGATGTCTTTTCATTGTATTTAAATTTCAGTTTGTGTGGTTATATTGCATACAGATTCAAAGTACAGTGTCATGAGCTCATATACAGTAACATGTGATATAAATGCTAATTATCAAAATCCTGCCTCTCAAAATCAAAAAACAAAGAAAAAATCAAAAGCCTGAAAGGCTTCAATGACGTCGAAGAAGAAAAACAATTTCAAAAGATCATTTTGAATTTGAAGATAACAATAAGTCAAGTGAGTGACTCAGGAGACATAATAAAAAAAAAGTTTTAAACAAAATATCACAATTACAGTCTGGGGCCTTATGTCATGGTCCGAATGGAGCAGGGTTCAAATTGACAAGACACCGTCGAACATGTTCATGCTAAATTCTTTTCAGTCAGTTGAAGAACTATGAAGGATTTCATGAATTTATATAATATTTTTTCTAATTGCCAATGTCAAAGCGTTGTATTAGTGATTGCATCTAAACTACAACCAAGACTGTTCTGTAACAATTACGATCGAGTTACGATCGGGCGTGGTATACGGTATACTGGGAAATGGAGGAAATGGAGAAATACAGCAATACTGGTCAATATCATCGGCTTTTAGGATAGAGTTGGTTAGAAGATTTTATAAGTAAAGCTAAGATTTAGAAATTCAATCTTTTTAATCTTGTAGTGTTCGTGTTTATGTAATTTTGTAATTATTTTACCTCCTGTTGTGTTGTTTATGTTACACGGTTATCGTTCCGAAATGTTATTCATGTCATTCAACGCACCCTTTCTGTAGAAATTCATCCGCAACAACCATCACATTTTTCTTGTGTGAGAATAAAACATAATATTGTTGTTTTGCAATAGAATTAATTGCAGATATAGTTGATGCAATTTTATTTTCAAATTATTATTCATTTTGAGCGTTTTCAAAGAAATTGGTTTATAGCTATTGCTATTTTCTATTGCGGATGCATCGACTGACACATTCGGTCGCGTACATATCCGGTCGCGATTTCGACTGGGCGCTTGCTAGATGACGTTCGAGCTCCAAGAGCTCGACGTCATAAAAAATAATAATTCAATCAACCGCCAGAGTGATTTTATACAATCAAAGGTCAAGGTCAACTGAATTGTAATGTAACGAACTCACTTGCATTGAACTCTCTTTGTTTGAAAAATCGGTTTGTTTGAAATGAACTGGGTTTCTCCTAAAATGCTGGTACAGTTTCTTTGCAATAAATACTCGTTTAGATTGAAATCGGTTAACTTGAAAAACTCTGTTAATTTGAAGTGATTTTGGGGTCCGCTGAACACAAAGCTTATAGCAGTTTTGATAACGGGTACATTGAAGTTGCCGATTGCGACGCGTGGACTCAGGTGACTGACTATATATAAAGTCTAGCACGTGTTAATTTTTCACTGGTGATTTGATGTTGGTGGACCTGTACAAATTTAATTATGTGTTGTATAGATAAAACAATAATCATTGAGCATTTCTCACCGTAACATATTAGTCGCCATTTTTATTTTCTAACTATGGCATTAAGACCGACATGGATAAAATATGCAGGGGTGTCATGTGTACATTGGTGTGTGGAGAATAGGGCTGTGTATTGACCAAAATATTTCGATAAGATATTTTATAAAGCAATATGCAATATATTGGATTCTAAAATAAGTCTAGCAAAAAGGTCTTGTAAATCATTTAATGCATAAATTTGATAAAAACTGGGTGTTTTAATACCAAATTGGAAGTTCATATGTCTCACTGTCTTTACAAAGAACACTTCAAATTCAAACTTTTAATGACTGAAAAACTAATATGTTAAAATATAGTTGTATATGAATTTTGCAATAGTTAATTAAGATGTGCTATCTCCTTAATGTTTATTTTATTATTGACCAGTTTTAATTAAAAACAGTTAAAAATTATCTTTGGTGACTGAAATTCCCAACTTTTTCACAGAATTATAAGAAAAACAGTCTGCCCAATACGTATTGGAAGTTAGTTTGTCAATACGATAAATTCCTGAATATCGATATGTATTGATTAATCAATATATTGACACAGCCCTAGTGGAGAAAGTGCCGGAGTAAATAAATCCACTGTAATTAAGTAAATGGAAAATAAACTTCTTGAATTGAAGTATATGAAGCATATGTTTTCAATGCTGATGAGACAGGGCTGTTCTATAGATTTGAACCTGACAAATCATTGCATCTATGCTGCAATGTTCAGGACGAACTTTTTTCGTGTATAAATAGTCTTGATAGTTTTCTAACACAGATCCAAAAAAAAAAAAATAATAAAACAGTAAAAAAAATTTAGGACTTTTTTGAAAAATAGAAATAAGTACATTTCTGAAACACTGCATGTAATGTTAAATATGAATTCGCAATTGTATATTTTTTTTACTGTACAGTCAAGCCTCGGTACCTCTAACTTGAAGGGACCAAGAAAAAACTTCGAGATATCTGAGGATTCGAGATATCGAGGGTAAAATACTTAAAGAATAAGTGGTTGGTACAGCAAATCACTTTGACATATCCATGGTATTCAAGATATCAGTGTTCCAGATAATGAAGTTCAACTGTATCTACATTTTTTTATGTAATTCATAGCACACAGATATAATGAAATTCGTTTACTTTGAAATAAATCTCAAGGTCCCTTAAATTTCAATGTAAACGAGTTTGACTGTATATGGTATTTTACAAAAGCCAAAGTGCCAAGCAATGCAAGTGCAAAGTATCAAATCCATTCCTCTTACAGTTCTCAGGATCTAGGGTATGACAGACAGACAGACACCATGTAAAGTGATCTCTAAGTGTCACTTTTACCAAAAATTTTTTTCATAATTATTTTGTTTTCTTACCTCTGAAGAGCATGACAAAGGTTACATAGGTGACAGGTAGAAATACATGTCATGGGATGTATTGGTGTAATCTTTTTAGTGAGCAGATTGCATCATGAATTGTTTATCTGCCATTGCTGATCTTTAACAAGGAAGACTTCTCCTGAAATAAGAAAAATTATTTTCAAAAGTGAAGTTACCTGTTACTCTTAAAGGGACATAGACACTGATTCGACATTTTGAAATATTTTCTCAAATTGTCTGTATTATATCATGACATATATGTGGCTATAGCATTTCACACGGAAATATAATAAAAAACTTATTTTATCTGTAAATTATTGAAACTATTAAATTCGGGATGCGTTTGATTGACACATCCTTGCACTTTCACAAGTAAACTTCATCCTTAATACTTAAGAAAAATAGGTTTTTTGATACATATTAATGAAAAAATATAAAAAAAATATAATCCAGAAAATTAAGAGTAGAAATCAGAGAAAGCAAAACCAACTAACCAGTATTGTCAGTCCGTGCTCAGTGATGTGTGAAGAGTTTAACAAATTGAACACAAAACAGTTTACGTTCCATTGGGTGTGTTCAATTTGTTAAACTCTGCACACATCACTGAGCATGGACTGACAATACTGATGAGTTGGTTTTGCTTTCTCACATTCAACTGTGAATTTTCTGGATTTTATCTTTAATTTTTTTTACTAAAACACAACAAAATTTCTACTTTTTTTAAGTATCAAGGATGAAGTTTTACTTTGTGAAAGTGCAAGGATGTGTCAATCAAATGCGTCCCTAAATTCGTAGTTTCAATAATTTCCAGGTAAAATAAGTTTTTTTAATGATATTTCCCTGTGAAATACTATAGCCACACATATCATGATCTAGTCGAAAATTTTAGAAAATATTAACTTCAAATCTGAGTCTATGCCCCTTTAAAGGTCATACACAAGAAAATAATTCACTATATTTTACTATAAAGCCTTGATTAAATTATTAATCAATTAATATGACCCTCACTAGATAAAAGATGAAGAAAAAATGAGTGATGCTTGGACAAAAATTTGAGACCAGAAATAAAATAATTCCTTATGCAGCTTTTAATAGAGAAAATTGATATTATTGATAGGTAAGATACCTTCAATCATGTGGATTTCACATGCTGATAAACAATTTACACACCATCCAGGAAGTTGCATCATGAGCACCTAAAAAAGGAGTATTCCTTAAATTCATTGATTGCCCACAAGTATAATATTCCTAATATTTGAGTAAAAAATAAATACTGTAGGCCTAAAATGAGAAACCGAAAAAGAAAACCTGAAAAGAAATTGTCTCTTTCTACAAAGAACAATAACTGACTAAGTTCATTTTGATTTGCTATTCCTGGCTCTAAGCTAAGCATGGCATAACAAGGGTCTACTGGAAAGAAAGGGTAAATTATTCATATGGTAAAAAATTAACAAATCAAACTTTGTAAATAAATACCCAAGCATTTGGTTTTGTCTTTGATTTCGACAAAATGTTATTGATCTCCAAAAATTTTTGTTTATGTGTGCTGAGCCACAGTAAAATTTTAAATGTTGTAGAACTGTATATCCATATCTAGATTCAGTAAGAAAATTCTAGTCATTTGACAAGTTAATTTCACAGTTTCGCCAAAGTTTGATTAACAATGTTATGGTTAATAAAATATTATCCAATTTAAGCTTATAGTTATATTATTAAAGTGCAATTTGTCAAAGTAAAAAATGCCTGTAAAAGAACAAGTGGCCATGGGCAACAATGCTCACCCAAGTCACTATGGCCTTGCTGTTCTACTTTTTTTTTACTACACATGATGATGTATATTTATTCATATGTAAAAATTTGATTGTCCATTGTGGCCCCACCCTACCCGGGGGGGGGGGGGGGGGGGGGGGGGTCATGATTTAAACAAACCTGAATGTACACTAAGTAATGAAGCTTTCAGAGAATTTTCATTTTCTGGTCCACTGATTCTTGAGAAGAAATGTTTTTAAAGATGCCATTAAATTTACAACAATTCTTAATTATTTCCCCTTGAAAGAGGGTGTAGCCCTTCATATGAACAAACTTGAATTTCCTTTACCCAAGGATGCTCTGTGGCAAGTTTGGTTAATATTGGCAAAGTGGTTCTGGAGAAAAAGATGAAAATGTGAAAAGTTTATGTCGCCGCCTCCAACAACAACAGTGACAGACAACAGACAAATTTTGATCAGAAAACCTCTCTTAAGCCTTTGGCTCAGGTGCTAAAATAAAAAATGGAGAAATAAAATTTATTGTTAATGACAGTTTTACTTATGTATTTTAAAACTCTTTCTCAAATACCATGGATATGTCTAAGTGCTCAAGTTCAGTGAGTTTATGAACTTTACCCTCTATTCTTGAAACCTCAATTATCTGTTTCTCAAAGGTTTTTTTTTTTTTCAGTCCCATCTATTGCCATAATAGGCTTATCTCCAGGGGGTCCTCATGACTAGCAATTACATAAGCAATAATGTTTTTGGATATTAATATATTGAAATAAATAAAACTGAATAATTAAATGACAAGATATGCATTCGACATTGGGTGACACAATTGGGGAAAATATTCTGGTATGTTACCCTCGAAGTAAGTGATTGTGAAATTTACTTGTCTGAACATAACTTTTACTTGTATAAAAATATTTCATAAAAGACCTATTTAACAATTTGAAAAAATATTGTACATTACAATAGTCTATAATACATTCATTGAGTCTGTTTTTGAGATTTTGAGTGGACACATCTATTGCAAATTACTAAACTGTATCATCCTATCCTAAAGTAGATGTAAATCATGTTATATAATTACATGTATGAAAGAAAAATAGTAACAAGAAATAGCTGACTATATGACTTCAAATTTTTCTTTGCCTTCTTTTGCTTATCCTTTATAGCCTAAATTGTCTTTTGCTAAAGCTCTCCTGCCAGATAATAAAAACCCAAATTTCCTTCAGTAAAAGTACACGTTTCAAAGTTACTGTAGTTCTAAGTAGTCAACTTCCTGGTACTTTAAATATTAAAATTAAAATTGTGACAAATGCCTGAAAAACATCAGATATTTCAGACAAGTTTATAGTAACATTGTTCCTGATCAAGTTTGACAACCAGGGCCATCATTATTACGAGCAGGATCATTCAACATTTAACTATTTACAAACTGCATGCATTGCATGTTTTCATTTTGAACCTCCGATAAAAAGTTGACAACAAATTTTAATTCTTTAAGTTTTCATGCTCAGCTAAAAAAAAAATTCTTCCTAGAAAAATATCCCTTGTCAAATCGGACAAGTGGTCAGTAATTATCACTTGTTCATGAAAAATTTTACTGGTACATGTACTGGACAAGTGGATGAGCATACAATGTCGAGCCAAGGAACTCTGCCCCATTTTTTGTTTATATTTGCCTTAGCAACCAACAGCATTAAATCTCGAACCCGAGCTATTATAATATGTAGCATAAAAGCACACGAGGATGATCAAGAGGGTGTTACAACTGTTTCTGTTTTGTTGTATTTGTTTCTAGCATTTGTTATTAACTGTTTCTGATGTGATGTGAATTCTTCATGGTATATATAGTGAAACTATATTTGTGATAAAAACATGATAAAGAAAATTAATAAAAAATGTTTTTCAAAAATGTAAATGATACCAGTAGTATAAAAACTCATTTTTAAGCATTTTAGAGTAGAATATAAACATCGAACCTAATGGGTCCTAGAAAAAACTTTGTGATATCCTACGATTCAAGATACTGAAGTTAAAATATGTACTTATAGCATAGCATAAATTTTCCATCTTTAACACTCAGTTATACCTCGATAAATATTGCTAATGAGAGGAGGAGCGCAATTAATATTTCTATCTTCATGATAACACAAATCTAAATAAGTCAGTTATTTTTATAGCTAATTCAGCCTTCATTAAGTTCAAAAAATTTCTTTAAATCTGTTCAGAATCAGACAAGTAAAAAATATTTATGCATTCGGACACAGGGTTTAACATTTATAAGGCATGTCTGATCGACACTGACTAGTAAAAGTTTGGTCCTGTCTAAAAATTGAGTGTACATCTGACATGTAAAATTAATATAACAAGTGTGCAGCATGTGTATTTTATTCATCTGCTCTCATGTACACACAGGATTCGAAATACCCAAAACTGTAGGGGTCTACAAATACAGTCATGACTTTAATGATTTTAGGTTAAAATTAAAAACAAGTAATTGTAATTGGAAGTATTCTATCAATACTAATATGTCAAGTTTCATCCACCAGTATAATGCTACGACATTGACGAGAAAAAACTATGCGTTTTCTACATGGGCATTTCTTCAATCAATTTGTTTATGTACCAGTATAAATTTATAAGAATCCTCTTGGGTTTTAATGTGATGGAGGAGGGTGCATTTAGTCATCAGGATGTTGTAACGCGGTCTTAAAACTCTTTAATAGCTTTGGGGCACGAACTACTTTTAAATTAGTTAAATAATCTAACTGCGTCTCCAGACGAGCCCTCACCACACCTCTCTTAAACCGGGTCTGAAGCACATTAATCATTTTAATGATTAGAAAATTCTATCTACAACTACTTCCTCTTCCAGATGACTCCAGTCTATTGCAGTGCAAACAAAAAAATGAGTTTTATATTTTTTGGTTTTGGTGTTTGGTATCTCCACTGCTTTACTGTTGTTACAAGGATTACAGCAAGTTAAACTATGAATTAAATTATTTTTTAACCCCACTAGTGATTGTACCAGCTAAATGACTGTGTATCAGTGTATCGTCCAAGTGTAGAATTGTAGATATCTTTTTATTAAAACTTTGAATTTGATAGATTTGAACTTAGGCGACTAACCGTATGTTTCTTACACATTCTTCTAATACTTCCACAACAAAACACTCGCCGCAACCATTCTTATTAGTCATCCTAAGCTTCCTCAGTCCTCGGTCGGAGCCTGTACTGCCATTTTGGTTGGCTAAATAACCCGACCCACTATTGTTTCGTAAATTGCCAACCCGTTTTTTTTTTTAAATACAGAACATTTAATTCTAATAAATCAGATCTTATTTCCTCTGGTAATCCATCACATTTTTTCAGACCAGCTGTACAGCATTTCAAGACAGAATAAAAAGATAAATATTTATTTATAATTGCCATGTCGAACCTCGTATCAGTCGATGCTGAAGAAAGATGGTGATGAGGACGGAAATGCACAATTCATTTATTTTATTGATTAATCCTATTGCAAGTAATTGATGATAGTATCGTCATGATTTTTTCATAAATATGCAATACAGAATTAAAAAGTTTTGAAATTATTGGTAAATAAACATGATAAATGGCAATATTGATAATGTATTTTTTATCACCCTGTACACATACTGAGTGTAGGGCACTGTATTACAGTTTATCTGGTAGAGTTTGAAATGACATTTGTTTAATCATAAAATATGCTCTTAAAGTGAAGAAATTGCATGCGTCTAATTAAATAAACGAGAAAACTACATGCATGGGTCCCAACTTGCATTTCATTCTATGTTAGGGGTCTCTTAGCAATACCCAGAGACCTATATAGTAATATACTAAACAAAATATCACATAATTTATTCGATATATACACACCATCTTGTAAAATATTGTATCGTGTCATAGGAGATGTTCTATTGCACACCTTAAACATACACATAGCCCAATCACCCTGTTGTATGTGTTAAATGTCTATGCATATTTATGTGTTATGTGATTAACATTTGTTGTGCAGTACTTATACATTGTTTAAAAGAATTTTTAATTATTTTAAAGATAAAGTATTTATTTTGGGGCAGACAATAGTCACTAATTTAATTTAGGGTATATGTACATCAGAAATTAAATTTGTGTCTATGATTTAGTTGCTTTCAAATTGGCTTTTAGATCAGTCTCTACTCCAGTGGAGAGGATGATTCCTCTTGATTCTGGAGTCAAAAGGTCAAAGTTATGATTGCGGGGTATGGATATGGAGTGAAAAAGAGAAGATAATGAACAGTGATCTATTTCATAAAAATTACAAACAATACAAATCTTTGAACACTGCATAAACACAGACCCCCTGAAATTCCAGAGGTGGGATCATGTGCCAAGGAGGATTAAGCATCCCCTGTTGACCGGCCACACCCACTGTCAGCCCTATATATTGATCAAGTAGATGGAATATTCAATAGTCAAATTTAGCATATAAACAAAGGCTTAACAATTGGTATGAAGCAAGTCAGCCAAAATACGACCCAGTGTTAGGTTATATTTGCTAACAGGTAAATCTTTGTACACCCTTGATTACACCTGGATAACAAATCTTTATTTCCTATATAACCTAATAATTTCTCTGTAAACCCAATTCCACTAATATTTTAAACTATTGATTTACTACATGCTTCAATACATCGTGACATCATGTTGTATGGTGTTTATTTGATATAGAAACTATTCATTGTGATGTCACATTATTTAACCCCACCCACCCCACCCCAGCTTTAGCTGGGTGTAAGGAAATTTACACCCTGGTTGCTAACCAATCAGATCTCGTGTTTTAAGATACATAGGAAATAATTAAGGACTTTTATTGAAGGTTATATAAAGATTTTTCAAAATGGGTACAGTAACTATATAAGTGAAGCATTTCAAGTAAATCTTTTTGGTTGTAACAATTATAGCATTTTGTCGTGTTAAACAGAAAAAGTAATCTAACTATGAAGTAGCTCCCAAGTAGTCCATGTGCAAGTACTTCCAAGTTTCTTTGTAACAACCAGTTTTGTACCCATTTTTGCAGATGAGTAGGGCAGTATACATGGAACATATTCAAAAGCTTTAGAGATATTTATGAAATAATGAAAAAGTTTGGTAAAATAATTTTATGATTCGTTCTACCAACAGATCAGAAAATATGTTTCAAAAATAGGTAGTATGTATTAAAATAATTAAAAAAATCAAAGTGAAGGAACACTTTAGCATATGTGCCTGCCTGTTCATCTATTTGCAATCATACTAATAAATATACAAAGCTGATGTATCAAGATAATAAATGCTACTGTAGCAATTGATAAATGAATGAACTTCTTTTCTACAATTTCAGTACTGTCCAGTAAATGAAGCCAGGTTTCTCAAACTTTCCATTTTGACATTTCTGATCAATTTAAATTTATTTAAATTATGTATATAATATCTTGTAGTTGAATACATAAAAAGAGTTGGTAAAATGTATATAATTATGAGCTTCTAACTAATTGTTAATTTATTTTATTTAAATTATATGTAGTAATTGATTAATGAGTGGGTGGTTGTTTAGAACTATAAAAGTTTGCATCAAAATGTGAAAACTTGTTGGTGATTCATATGAAATTCATCAAATGCTAAATAAGAAACATACACAGTCAAACCTCATTATTTTAAAATAGATGGAACTGAAAAAACTTAGAGATATAGGAGTATTCAAGATATCGAGTGTTAATTTCTTAAAAAATAAGTGGTTCGGACTTCCAGTTAACTTTGTTGTTGTTGTTTAACGTCCATCTCGAGAATTTTTCACTCATATGGAAATGCGACCACTTGCCGGTGGAGAGCTGCAAATTTTGACTTGTACTCAGTACTCAGGGCCATTGAGCAGTGAGGGATCTTTTTCATGCCAGCACCTACTGCGACACTGGACCTCGATATATATGGTCTCATCCGAAGGACCGGTCTCCATGTCCTACAGTGGGATTCGAACCCACGACGTAAGGATCAACTCCTTACTCCGCGACTCTAGAGCAAATGCTCTAACCACTGTGCCACACAGGTGACGCTTGACATTTGAAATTCAAAGTAAAAACATTAATGTTTTATACACAATTTATAATACTCTAATGCTTCATATATGGGCAAAATGTAACATGAAAAGTATAATATTTTATCATCTATGGGACTATAGTCATATGTTGTTACCTACCATAAAGCCCTTTGGATTCCATGGGATTTGATCACATGACCAACCTGTATCTATAGCCCCATGGTAATTTTAAAGGGGATAGAATAAATGTGTCAGAAATACTTAAGCTTGTCCCTTAATAACCAGTCCTTTAGCTATAATATCTAAGTTTTCTTAGCTTTAAACCAAAAGAAATTTAACTTAAAAATCCAGCTTTTTACAAAAATTATACAGTCATGTATCTTTATAACCAAGTTGATTTGTAAAGGCAAAAAAATCAGAAATGTGCAGATAGTGAAAACAATTACAGGGTATACGATGTATGGTATAGGTCTAATTGGTGACTTATTAAGTCGCCATAGCACCTAAAAATTATGATTGTTGCCTAAAATTTTTCTAGAATTTGCCAAATTGGTGACCATTTTAAATTGGCTTGGTGATCATCAAATTACTGAACTATAAACATTTTCAATTTTTTTTTTAGAAAGAGCCGAAAAGAAGCAATGGACATGTCTCTAATATTGACTAATATCAGTTTTTAGATTGGTGCCTAAGAAAAATTTACCTGGCGGCAAAAAATTTGCATTGGTGACTAAATTTTTTTTTTCATAAGGAGCCAGTTGGTGCCTAAATTTTAGAGGTCACATAGAGGCCTGTGGTAGAGTCAACATATTTAGTGCATGTTTATCAATTTACCAGTCGCCATGTGGCATAAAGTATAGAGCTTTTGCTCCAGAGTTGCAAAGTAAGGAGTTGATCCTTACTTCAAGGGTTTTAATACCATTGTGGGACCTGAAAACCGGTCCTTTGGATAAAACCGTATAAAGCAGGTTCTTTGTTGCAGTAGGTGTTTGCACAAAATATCCCTTACTGCTAATATAAATGGCCATAAGTGCTGAGTTCAGGTCTAATTTTGCAGCCCTCCACAGGGAAGTGGTGGCTTCTTAACATGAGTAAAAAATTCTTGAAGGGACGTTAAATAAACAGTAAAAAATCATTTTACCAAGGAGAGAAATCAATTGTTAATAAATAGAACATCATGTTTGACATAAACAGAATAAAATATGAAATCTAATTCAATTTGAGCAAATATTTTTCAAATCTAAGAATTGTCGAAACTTCCTGAGGTATTGATTATTTTTAACTCTTTGAATGAATGGGATGTTTGAAATTCTTAGGAATCTTGACTTATTTTAAGTGCATTATATAAGACTTATAAACTATGTCTCAAAGAGCAGCAGTATTTGGTTTATGTGACTACATAGGTAGTGCATATAGTCAGTGACAATTACTCCTATAAGAGGCTATCAAGTCATTTCCACTGAGGCATGGAGATCAAAGTCACCTGCATGGTGCAATGGTTAGAGCATTTGCTTTAGAGTCGAGGAGTTTGTTTGTTTGTTTTTATGTTGTTTAATGTCCCTCTTGAGAATTTTTCACTCATATGGAGACCCCACCACTTGCCGGTGGAGAGCTGCAAATTTTGTCCTATACTCGGCACTTACGGCCATTGAGCAGTGAGGGATCTTTTTCCTGCCAGCACCTACTGCGACACGGGACCTCGGTTTATACGGTCTCATCCAAAGGACCGGTCTCCACATCCCACAGTGGGATTTGAACCCGTGACGTAAGGATCAACTCCTTACTCCGCGACTCTAGACGCTCTAACCACTGCGCCATGCGGGCGACGAGTCGAGGAGTAAGATGATCCTTACATTGTGGATTCAAATCCCATAGCAGAACGTGGAGACCGGTCTTTGGAGGAGACCTTATAAACTGAGGTCCTGTGTCGCAGTAAGTGCTGACATGAAAAAGATCCCTCACTGCTCAAAAGCCATAAGTACTGAGTACAGTTTTAAATTTGCAGCCCTCCACCGGCAAGTGGTGGCTTTTTAATATGAGTGAAAAATTCTCAAAGGAACATGAAACAAACATGGAGATCAGTTTTGTGTTTTGAAGATGAAAGGTAAGGAACATTAAATGAATTGAAGTGTGCATAAGTATTCATACTAATCTCGAGTTTTACAACAACAAATATAAACAAAATCCATTA